AGGGTGCAATTGAGATTTAAACATGCCTTCAAAAAGTTCAATGAATATCAAAGATCTAGGAATTTCAAACCAATTAAAACCTAATAATCTATTTCGTTTTTCATGGTGTAAATTGGTAAATCGTCATTTACCAACCTTCAAATATTCTGCAATGGGATTACGACATCCCTCTTCGCAATTGTAAAATATTGTGTTGGATCCTAGCCTTAATATTCATATTGGGTGTAATATTAAGGATTCTCATTTAATCTAAACTTTTTTCTTCTTACTTTTCAAATATCTACCCCAAACAATGCTTCCACACTAATTCCTTCAGGCTCTTTCTCCCTAATGAACCTATGTGGGAGGGACATTTTTGATGGCTCGAATTTCAATGATTGGATTCGAAATATCAAAATGGCAATTAGTTATAAGGACAAAGAATATGTCCTTAATAAAGAGCTAAAGGAGATTGATGTCACCACTGCTACTCCTGAACAAATTGCTAAACACACTACTCATGAGAGGGATGCGACAAATGTGTTGTGTCTTATGATTACTACCATGAATGATGAGCTCCAGAAGTCCTATGAGGACAACTATCCCTATGAAATGTATCATGATTTGATGGAAAGGTACCATCAAAGTGCTTGTCAGGAGAGGTATGAGATCATTGCCTCCATGATCAAAACCAAAATGAAGGACGGTGAACCCATCACAGCCCACTTGCAGAAGATGCAAAGATATGTGGACCGCTTGCTAAAATTGAATGTCAAATTTGATGAACAGTTGGCCATAGATATAATTCCACACTCTTTACCCTCTTGTTATGATCAGTTTCGTTTGGCTTATCATATGAACAAGTAGGAGGTCACTCTTAGCATGATTCAAGGGGATTTAAGGACTGCAGAAAGCAACCTTAAAGGCAAGTCGATTGTGTCTACTCCTACTTCTACTTCTGCCCCTGTTCTGGCAATAGGACATGGAAAGGGAAAGAAGAGGAAGGCTCCCTCCAAGAGTTGAAAGGGAAAGTCCCTTGATTGATCCTCTTAGAGTGGGACCAAAGTTGGCTCGGTTAATCCCTCTTCCAATCCGAAGGATGCTGATTGCTTCCATTGTCATGAAAAAGGGCACTGGAAACGAAGTTGCCCCAAGTACTTGCAGGACATAAAGGATGGGAAGATGAAACCCTCCTTTGCAGGTATTTACACGATTCAATCTAATAACTCATAAAATGGTAATTCTTGGGTCCTTGATACAGGTTGTGGATTTTACATTTATTCTGATTTTGAGGGACTAAAAAGAAGTAGGGATGTGGAGCACGGAAAGATAAACTTAATCATGGGAAATAGGAAAATGCCGCATGTGACCAAGATTGGAGTTTATTCTTTGTTGCTTAGAAATGGTTTATATTTAGATTTGAATAATTGTTGTTACTTGGCCAATATGGAGAGAAATATTATTTCCTTTCATAGTTTGTACAAACAAGGTTTTTCCTTTTCGTTTAATAATGAAGTTGGTGCTATTTATGCTTATTATAATGGTGTATTTTATTTTGAAGCATTACATTGCAATGGTGTATATAAAACTGTGAATGTTCTAGATAAATTAGGAAACAATGTGTTGAATATTGATTCATCTAATGCTTTGGATAGAGCATGCTTGTGACATTTGTTGGATTAATGTCTAAGTCCATAACTATAATTGGTAAGACTTGACCTGACCCGGCATGGTCCATTTGGGTTGCATGGCATCATGCATTTGGATAGACTAAAATGAGAGAAATAACACTGGTGTATTAATATATTATAAGTTCTAATATATTAATAGAGATTATTTAATTAGTATTGATCAAGAATTAATCTAGAATTAATTAAGTGATCAAAAGAAGACTAATTAAATATATGGGTTGATTGTGTAAATCATCCATAACTTATATAGTGGGCTAATGCTCCATGGATTATCAAGTTGGGCTAAAACCCATAGGATGCTCCATGGTGTATTTGAACCCATGGATCCAAGGAAATGGAAAGCCATGACAATTAGGGTTTACCCTAATTGTAACAACTATATAAGCATCTTATTGATGTGAGAAATCAGCCACTAGGTGTGTGTGGAGGGCAAACCGATTCATGAAGTGTTCTACTTTCTCTCATGGTTATTCCAAGTGCACTTGATGTTGTGTGAACCATTTGAGGTGTCACATTTGGGGCACTAGGCACTCGAGCTACATGGAATCAAGCACCAACATGGAGGTATGTAATTCTACTAGATTTTATATTATATGTACCTTATATTATGCTAGTTAGAACAATACCTTGGAAATTGATATTTGCATGTATAATAAAGAAAACATAGATCCAAGGTATTTAGGGTTGCATGTACACCATAGGAGTGTTAGAATGCTCAAAACCCAACAGTGGTATCAGAGCCTAGACTTGTTATCACTTATACTTGATGGAAATTGCTTAAAATTGAAGTTTTTTTGCTGCTGGGACAGTGGACTCGCCGAGTGCACTGATGGACTTGATGAGTCCAAGACAAAATGCATCCAACTCACCGAGTTGGTTCATGCACTCGACGAGTTGGAACCCCAAACAGCATATCTTCGAGTTTTGGTGCTGGAATTGATCTAGAATCATTACCTTTGACTGTTTTGGTCTTATAAAACTTGTTTTTAATGTGGTAATGATTATGTTAAACCAATTTCAATGCTATAATCAAAGTTTCAAGTTTATATGTGTTTATGTAATTCTTGAAAAATGTTGATTATGAATGTTCATGCTTATGAGTTTTGGTAGATCATAGGAATTATGTGCAAATTGTTTGTTGTTATTCTTTGATCTGAATGGATGGACTCCATAATTTGTCCTCAAGTTATGGATTACCAAAAGTTTTTTAAGTTTCCTTGATTTATGATTTAGTTTATATTGATGAAAAAAATTATGTTTTGTTGATTTCAATCCATATTAATCTAAAAGAAGTTCATAAAATATGTTTTTCTAACTTGTCTTCAAGTTATGTGAAAGTCATATTTATGAATCTTAAAAATCATAAAAGTGTCGTAGGTTACATAAAAATGAAGAGTTTTTCCATTAAATTGCTTAATGACTCCATAACTTGTCTTCAAGTTATGGATGTTGAAAAGTCACTTCATTAAAAATGTTATTAAAAAATAAGGGGTTACATTAAAATGAAGAGTCTTCTTTTTAATGAACCATTAAACTCATAAGTTATGAAATGAAAGGTTTTGAATAGTTTCAAAACTTGCACTCAAGTTTTGGAATTTGTAAAGTCTTACACTCTAATACTTTAATTCCAAATTGAACCTTAGAATTTTAAAAGCTAAAATTCAAAGTTTATGGACTTCATTAAATTAATTAAAGTTTTTAATTAAAAGAGTTAATAATTCCATAAAGACATGGTTTAAGTTTAATTAAATTAAGAGTATAGTTTAATTAATTGATTAAACCACCAAGTATTTTAAATGTTTAAAATACACCCTTATACTATTATTATAATTTTAATTATATAGATATGTATAAGATAAAGTCAATCTTACCATTAGTAGGCCTCATTCACGAAGCCGGTCTATAATGGGGGTATAAGGTTATTGCCTATAAAATGGCAGTTTAATGGGTGTCCACTCTCACCCACCGCTTCCTTGACTGGTGAAGGGTCGTTAGCCGAACGGGTAGGAAATGACTATAATTCTCCCTTCATTAAAAGTATAATGAAAAATAATATGTAACTAAACACTTATAAATTCCCAATCTTAGTTACTTAGGAAAATCTGAAAAGGTGCTAGCCCATGAAATTACACTTTGTACCTTACCAATTAGTTAGTAGAGCGTGTGTGGTTAACCGGCATGCTAACAAGGACTAGTAAGAGTGGCAAAGGGTACACTTTATTATAGATCGGTGGAGCGTGTGTGGTTAACCGGCACATCGATTAGGTGATAAAGTTAAGGGTACCAAGTCAATTTGCATGGTTATTCACACCTTGCTTGTGATCCTCGGCATCCGAGTCACAAACTTGCGAGGGCACAATCGAGATTCAAACATGACATTGAAAGTTCAATGTATCTCAAAAGATCTAGGAGTTTCAAATCCAATTAAAACTTAATTATCTTTCATTTTTCATGGTGGAAATTGGTAAATCGTCATATACCTACCTTCAACTATTTTATAACTCGGATTAAGGAATCCCTCTTCCGGTTATAAATAGGTTGTTGGGTCCTAGCCTTAATATTTCATATTGGGTGTTATATTAAGCACTTTAAATCAACTAACTTGAATTTCTCCCTTATAGATGTCTAGTTTAGACAACTATGGTCTTCCTAAATCTTTAGGAACAAGCTTCCTAATGAAGATGATATCCCAAAAGGCAATCAAGGTGAAAGACTAATCCCTTTATTGAGCACTAATGGGACTGGAAATCATACTTCATTTCCTCCACCTCCTTCAATAAATCTCCCTATCCCACAAGTTTCAAGACTTGATAAGTTCTAAGTCACCCAATCCCTATTGGCAAACAAAGTCTATATGTGCTTAGGTCTTGGAGATTAAGTAACATATTGACAAGTC